TGGTAATTCAGTGTTCCTGTAAAAAAAAAAAACGAACAATAATACTGATAAGATATTATTATTATTATTATACGAATTCTACTAATAAGAACAATATAAACAACGCACTAAGGATTAATGAGCTACTGGATTCATGAATATTAATTAGGCTGTGTGCGTTTGCTCGAACTGATTCGCTGAAATCTAAACAGGGATGATAATAGGTGAGCACCAGCCAATGAGATTGTCGTTTGCGCATTAGTTCCGCCTACTACAGGAAAACCCAGCAGTTCTTAAAAGCTGAAGAATTCCTAAAGGAACGCCGTTACTTTTACAGGAAAATACAACAAAGTATATTGTTTACATGTAGCGCATCAATTCTGCATGTTATGTAAGACTCTCGCTCGCTCTTTGCGCGTGAGAGAAAGCGATGGCGAGTCGTGCACCTTCACACTAGAGTTTACGTTACACCAAATCCACAAACACAGGTGCGCTGCGCATGCATTCAAATGAACTGAAAAATATAACAGATCGCTTGACGGAGAGTGAAACTCTGAAGCGCTCAGTCAGAGTGTTCTGTGAGTGAAAATATATCTGTGCTAATCATATACTCAGCATCCAACTCACACACTGGCGAGTAAAATCTTAGAATTTATTAGCCATTGGCTAATATTAGACATCATTTAGTCGCCCAGAGTGAAGATATGCGAGTGATTTACTTGCAATGTAGAGGGTTGTGAATTGTTCAATTTTATGTAAAATGAATAATCTTATATAGGCTAATCTTACATTCTAGAAAAGCCCTTTGGCTGCCACATAATTGTTAAATGTCACACACTATACAACACAATCCCCTACTTGGGAAATAAAAAATAGCCTATGCTCTAAAACGCTAATAGCGATAGGAAGTTAGGTTTTCACACACTTCCTGAAAATATAACAAAATGTTAAAAAAGTTTCTCAAGTACTGCAGTGGATATTCCAGGAACGCGCATGCTGGTCTCTGTCTCTTTAAAGACGTCCTCTTCCCATTGCGCAGGCGCGGACATCTCTGCGTTGAGTTTGCTCCAACCTGAGGAGCAGCCAGCGCGAGCTGTTCGTACTATGGGAGCTTAAACGGTGGTCGAGGGGGCCAAAATTCACACACTGAGAGGGTTTCAGAGCACCGGGACGAAGAGGATATATACCTACACTGAGGGTCGACGCATTCGTTAAGGAGTTTATTACGTTGAGCCTGAAAAGCAACGAAAAAATATGCGGATAACGGATAGTTGCTCAGGTTTTCCAAATCCCTCAGCGCAGAGGACAACAGCAGAAACAACATCCGTGTTACTGACTGGTGCTGTTAAAAAGGATGCTTTTTACTCCGAAACCTTCTCCGTTTAGCGTTTTACCCCGTGGCATATGAACATTTAGCAACGAAAAGGTCAAGGTTTAAAGGCTTTAAAGCACACCAGCAGTGTATTTGGGCAGCCAGCTGAATGTTTACGCTTTAAAATGGCTGCGGACGGGATCAGAATAAGACTTGAATAATATGATGCTTTAAAGCTGGAAATATCTCATCACTTGAGTTATGGTAATGCTCTGGGAGGAAAGATTTTTTTCAGTGTTATGGGGAATTATTTTCCAGCCCTGTAACTGCAGGAGGTAACGTAGGAAATTCCTGCCCTTGTTCAGAAACAATGAGGCGAGAAAGATGATTTAATATGCCTGTGTTTATGCTCATTTGATCATATCACACTCGGATCTGGAGGTTTTCCATTAAACGATTGCCTAAATTTTGGGAAACTATTGCTGATATTTAAGGAATATCCATGATCTGTAAGTGAACGGATCCCCTCTGCTGTTTTAATTGAAACAATCTGGGCTCCAGTAAGCAGGGAAGAAAGGCCCTAAGATACTGATACCCAATCACCAACAATAGCAGCATCCCTAAACCATGAATGCTGGGAAGAGGATGCTAAGACCTGAACTGTTTCTGGTCAGACAGAGACTGCAGGGCATGCAGAGATATTTATGGCTGTGTGTGATGTTCTCCCTGGTGCTGATTTCAGACGGCTCTCCATCTACACCCTGCGAGCAGAGCTGTCTGTCAGGCAGGTGTGTGAACGGATCTTGTGTCTGTGATCGTGGATGGGTTGGGGACCAGTGTCAACACTGCCAGGGAAGATTCAAGTGAGTATTTAATAAGGCATTTATGAGTATTAAATCAGACTGTTTCAGCTCTGGAGGAACATGAAAGCATGTTGCAAGTGCTTGTGTGTCCAATTCACTGATAATGGGTGCATATACTGAACACTCAGAAAAAAGTTCACAAAGCTGTCACTGGTGCAGTACCCTTTCCAAAGGTACTAATACATACCATTTAGGGTTGGATAAGATGTAAAGATATGCCTAGCTTTTGTATCTTAGGATACCACCCCAGTGACAGCTTTCTTTCACTGTTGTTTGATTCAAATCTAAAGTTGTGTTATTGTGATGCTTAGGAACACAGGTCCATTGCATGTTCAATCATCTGTGAAGCATGTTACTGATTGCTGGATTGTCATACTTGTCTGGGGAATTTGGATAACTTGAAAAGGACTTTTCACTTATGTGCATCATCTGGTTAAAAACTGATAAGAGGGGCACTTATTCTTGACTGCTCCCTCCTCTCAGACTATTTTTGTGTGGCTAAAAAATCTAGATTTCATTTCCACATTGAAATCTTTTTTGGTATACTCCTGGCAAATCCCACGAGTCCTGGCACAGTTTGGTTGAATTAAAGTTTTGTACTTTTAGCACAAAGACATGAAATTAAGGCCTTAAAAGGTCTTAAATTAGAACAGAAAGTCTTAAATTCATAAAGTCATTGATAAAATGTATATATTCCTCAGTATTTTGTCTTCTTTTCACATAAAATATGTAAACATCCTTAAATCAAGATATATTTCCTTGAGATGCATATTCTGAGAAATCAAGTAAGTTTGTTAAAAATAAGAAAATATGTCAGTGGGGCTTGAAAACTTGTTTTAATTTTGAATTAAGTTGATTTTCTGAACCCTTTGGCAGATATTTGTTCTTTTAAATCATAAACTCACTTCATTTTGATCAATTTCACAGAAAACAAGACTTCTTATCTTCTGTCATCTTTCTTCTCAAGTAACTATATATTGATTTATGATTTTTTTTTTACAAATATTTTTTACTGGAAAACAAGACAAAGATACTGAGGAAGAACATCACTTTTTTGTAGTGTGCCCAGAAGGCACAGTAAAAGTTATTTCCATATTGTAGTGTTTGTAAGAAGAGCTATTCAAGTTTTTTTTGTAGAATTAATGAAAAAGTAATTAAGAGATGTGTTGGAGGTTGTATTTTCAAAACGTTGAAGTGTTGCCAGTACAACTTATTGTCTGCTCCTAGACACGTACATTCAAATAACATATTGTGTTACCTTCAATTTATCTTAAAAAGGTTTTAAAAAGTCTTCAATTTACCTTCATAAAACCTGCGGTAACCCTGTTCTTCACACAGTTTATATTAGTATATTTAAATAATTGTACAGACATGATCTTATGAGAGTGATTTGAAACATCTACTGTACTGTCATTATTAATTCTGTGCCTTTGTCTTCACAAAGGATGTCAAAGGTACTATCGGTAGACATGATTTAGTTTTAAACTATCTTAGTTTGACAGCTGAAGGATAAATGAAACTCTTGAACAAAGCTCCTGCACTGTTTCTTAAAATAGCATCCCGCTCTCATCGGGTGCAACAAAGATCTCGCTCTTCTCTCCATCTTAGAAACAGCCAAAAGGATGCTATCCGCATTTATAAGTGCTGTCACTCAAAATAAACTTCAGCGTGACACCTCGACCTGTATAAAAATGTTGTAAGCAACAATAGCTGAATGAAAGGAAATTAACTCAGTTGATGTTTTGATGCTCTCATTGTTGGGCCTTTGTTGGTCCAGGTGACCAGGAAGTCCAGAGTTATTATCTGAGCATGTCGTACTGTGTGATCACCCATTAGATGCCCCTGTCCAGCGGTGCGCTTTTGCTCCTCCATAAAAGCCTAATTTCACATGCAAATCAGTAAAATCATGTAACGTGACTTGCAAAATGGGACGTGCTTGATTTATAGAAGTATATTTATTAGGGATGTAACGATTAACTGTGAGCCGGTTGAAAATCGATTTAAATATGAGACGATTCTAATCGTTTGAGATGCTAAACAAATCGCGATTCAGTTAGTGGTAGGAGTTTATATGAATGTATGTCTGAGGGGGACTTACTGTCTTTCGATGGTATTTTTTCTTTTCATCTTGCTTCTGTATAATGCATATTAAAGTTCATAAGTGCAGCGCTGCTTTGTTTACAGCGGAAACCAATGAAACGCTTTAAGCGCCACCTGCTGGCAGAGAGTGAATCTGCGTCTCATTCAGCTCGTCTGCTGTTTCGGTTTCATGCAGA